TCATCTTAAAAGTTTATACAGAGGCCTTAACTGGGTTCAGTCACGTATACCATCCAGATGACCTCAACACCATATCAGCACCTCAAGGCCGTGTCCTTGGACCAGCCTCTGGTAGTGGGAAGGCAAGCAGAACCCTCATTCCAAGGACAGGAGAGGGGATGGGGAGCCTCCAATTTCCCAGGCCCAGCTCACAGGCCAACTGGCAGTCATGTCTTCTCAGTGACCTCTTCCAACATGTGGTCATAGGACCTCAGGGTGGGAAGCTGTGGTCAGAGCAGCTGGGCTGGGGTGGGTGACAGGGGTCCTGGGAAGAGGACTGGACAGATTACGGGATGGGGAAGGGGATTCCCCCTGGTAGAATACTCAGAAGATAAAGCATCTCAAGGACAGGGGAGTGGGCAAGGACCCTATTTCCCTGAGCTCAAAGTGGGGCCCAAGGGTTCCCCTGTCAGTTGTAGCTGTGAGACAGGCCAGATCAAGAGTCTGAGCAATGAAATATTGGCCTTTGGAAACCTTTCTATGCATTACAGGGCAACAGAACAAGACTCAGAACCACCTCAGTCCAAGACTGCTTTGTTAAAATTCCCACTCAAAGTTTGTTCACCCTCCTGAGAGGAAGTTCCTCAGCCTCTGCTTGGACACCTGATACCAGGGTGCTCGTTACCCTTCCTAGCCCATCTCTACTTCATTGAAGCCAGATGCTTGGAAAACGAGCTTCCCCAGCCTAGTGCCAAACTCTTCTTCCCCATAAAGTCCTGCACTGTTCCTCTCTCTGCCCTTTGGGGACATACTGACCAATATGGAACAGGTACAAGAAGACCGTTATCCCCTGCCCCTCTTTCATAGCTACCTCTGCCCTGCCTCCTCCCACTCTCCTCTGGGCCTGCTCTTCTCCTTCAGGGATCACTCAAGTGACATGGGTGCCATTCCGTTCCGCAGACGCTACCTGCCTGCCTGTTGTGTGCCACTGACCAGCTCTCCGGGTAGCCGTGGATACAGAGGTGGGTAGGACACCCATGTCCTCTGACAGTCTAAAGACGCAACACATGGAAGATTGTGCATGGAGAGCTAGGACTGAACACATCCGTTAGCTATTGCTGTGTAGCAAACCACCTCAAAGCTTAATAACTGAAAACAACCATTTATTATTGTTCATAAATCTCCGGGTCAGCTGGGTGGTTCTGTTGATCTGGGCCATATCCAGCCATGGAGTCACTCTTCCATCTGCAGTCAGCTGGTGGGCTGGGCGAGGGCTGGCTGGTCTAGGACAGCCTCCCACAGCTTGGCAGGTCTGGCAATTGGCTAGCTATTGGGTTGAAGTGCCTAGGGTGATTGGGACACATGTCTGTCCCACAGCAGGGCTAGCCCAGGCTGTTCTCACAGATCGGTGGGCTTCCACGAGACTGAGCAGGAACACGGCACCTGCCCCTCTACCACATGCTACTAGCCAAACACAGGTCCCAGGCCAGCCAGGTCTCGAGGCAGTGGGGAAATGGATCCCGCCTCTCGATGGGAAGAGCTGCTAAGCTGCATCGCAATGGCGATCAGGACGGGTGGAGTATGGGGCCATTTTTTGGTTGAATACATAATGAGTGTGTTAGCCAGGGCAAAAAGTGAAACACACTATCCAGAGAAGACACTGAGACGATGAGATCAGGGAGAAAGAAGTGGGTTCTGCTTGGTTTTCTGAAATAAAAATACTTTCCAGGGTTTTTTTTTTTTCTTCAGATTAGGACAATAATATTTGACTCCCATACAGTCCATTCACGAAATCAGTCACTCACTCTTACGTGCTGTCACTCCACTGAGCTTCCCACCTTCTATAGGAACTACCTTGAAAATAAGAAAAAACTGAATTGTAGAAACCTGTGGGTTTAAATGCATGAAAGCGCCAAGGGAGGAAGTAGAAAAAATGGGCACAACGTACGTATGGAGTGGACACATTTGGGAATATCTCCCCAGCTCACTGGGCTCCCTCTTCCCTGACCCTGGGGGTCAGTTATGGCTCCCCCTGGCCATGTTTTCCCTGTGCAATCCCTCCCTCAACATTCCTGATTGGATGACCAGGAGTGGACACCTGATCTGGACCAATCAGATTCTTCCCCTTTGGGTAAGAGAGAATCTGGTCAGTCTTCCTCGGTCCTGTGGGATCTTGGGGACTGAGGAGCAGACAAGGCCAAGAGGAGAAGGAAGAGTAGGACCAGCCCCTAGCGTGTGCAGGGACCGGGCCAGGCAAGAGAGGCTCCACTTGGCACCACTGAGGTCCGGCCATGAGCCCCACATCCTTACGAAGTCTGCCTCCTTACAAAAAGGCCCCTTTTTTGCTTAGGATATCCCAGCAAGAGGACATAGGGGCCAGAGAAATAAAAGTGTGAAGGAGCACCAGCTGGTGGAGGCCAGAGCAGCTCAGGTCCGGAGAGGTGGGGGTGGCAGGGAACCAGGGGCAGGCAGTAAGCCCAGGAGCTGGTCCCTGGACAGACCAAGAAGGGCCTTAAAGGACGGTGGACATAGTCCATGAGGCCCTGCAAGGCTCAAAGATGTGGGGAGGGGTCTGGCGTGAACAGCTTCCAAAAGCAGCCAAGGGAAGGAATATATGGGGATAGGGTCAGGAGAAACTAGCTATCCATGTGGCCCCAGCTCCAGTCTGAAGCCTACACATTTAAAACGTTTACTTGTAACACACAAACACGCAAAAGTGTGAGCAAAACTAAAGGCACAGAACAAGGGGAGAAAATACAGTACAGGTCAGAAGGATATTCTCATTAATGCAGTAAACTCTCTGAACAAATCCTCAGGGTAATACAACCCATAGGAAGACAGGGAAGGATATTCTCCAAAAAAGAAACACAAATGGCTCAGAAGCTTTAAAAACAACAACAACAAACTTTGAAGTAATAATAGTAATAAAAACACATTTAAAACAAGACCCCAGCAGGGTGCCTGGGTGGCTCAGTCGTTAAGCGTCTGCCTTCGGCTTGGGTCATGATCCCAGGGTCCTGGGATCGAGCCCCGCATCAGGCTCCCTGCTCCGCGGGAAGCCTGCTTCTCCCTCTCCCACTCCCCCTGCTTGTGTTCCCTCTCTCGCTGTCTCTCTCGCTGTCAAATAAATAAAATCTTTAAAAAAAAAAAAAAAAAACAAGACCCCAGCAGGGTGCCTGGGTGGCTCAGTCCATTAAGCTTCTGACTCTTGGTTTTGGCTCAGGCCGTGATCTCAGGGTTGTGAGATCGAGCCTTGTGTTGGGCTCTGTGCTCTGTGCTCAGTGGGGAGTCTGTTTGAAATTCTCTCTCTCCCTCTCTCTCTGCCCCTCCTTCAGCTCACCCTCTTCCTCCCTCCCCTCTCTCTCTCTCTAAAATAAATAAATCTTTTTAAAAAATTTAAAACAAGATCCCACTATTTATCTACCAACTGATACTTTCCTTCAAGATATTACTTTACACCAAAGAGGGTGCAGGAAATGGCTCTGCCACAGACGGATAGCACCTCTCTGCGTGCAGTTTGGGAATAACTCAAGCCATCTGCTCAGGGTTGCAACCCGACCCAGATCCCTGCGTCCTTCTGTGTTAGTGCCCAAGGGCCCGCCTCCAACACCACACCTCAGTTTCTCTCCTGGGGGGCTCTTTCTGGCCTTTAGGGTCCCCTTGCCTGCCCTCGTGGCCTACTGGAGGCGAAGGGAAATTAATAGGACCTGGGAGCAGCAGGTCATGGACAGGGCGGGTGCTCAAGAGAGCTCAGGACTTGGCGTCTCGCTAAGGTGGGATAAGTCTGGCATCTTACACTGGCCCCCAGCGTCAACAGAGGGATTCAGCTCCAGCCGCCCACAGGAGAACAGCTTCTTGGAGGCCCTCACTCCCCGTCCCACTCCCCACTCCCATGTCAGGGCTTCCTTCACTTACCAAATAAGCTACTTGCCCTGGAACCCTTGCCTCAAGGGAACCCAGGCTTAGACAACCAGCAAGTTGATGGAGACAGTCACAAAGATGTGCAAAGACCTAGCCACTGGGCTATTCAAGGAGGGCTCTTTTATGGAAGAAAATAAAAGTGAATCCACCCAGAAGTCTGGGTTAAATCAATCCTGCCACATCCAAGCAATAATTACTTCTTGGCCACTAAAAATGAATTAAATGTTATAGAAAAGTGTGGGGTGGGCATTCCCAGTAGGGTGAAGTGAAAAAGAGTGTTAGAAAGTGCTAGATATATTTGGTGTAGCTGCAGTATTTTATAAGGATATGCATTTGCCAAAATAGTAACTGTGGTTATTTCTGGGGAACACGATTACCAGATTTTTATTTTCTTGTGTGTGTATGTGTGCACCTCTGTATTTTTCTAATTTCTGTCATAATCATGTATCATTTTTGCAATCAGCACATGTGGCTAACCAAGAAATGCTACAACAAGGAAGAGAAGAACACCTAAGAAATATAATTTATATGAATTTATTAATGTTTTCACTTGTGGGAAACATCAGAGAAAATACACTTGTGAGACACTCTACTTTGGGCTTTTCTCAAATGAGATCCATTTGCCACAAGCCATGATTATCCTCTTGAACACATCACTCATCAATTTTATACACCATTCTTTTCCCTAAAGACAGAAATCAGACACAATTCTCAAAAGATCCTAAGTCATTCATTTATTTCAAGTACAAAGCACTGTGCCCTGGGAATAAACAAACGTCTCCTTCTTTAAATACACAAAGTGACATTTGTGAAGCACGAGCGTAAGTTAAGACCTGCTGTCCTGGTGAAGGAATTGATCACAACAGTCTACAGAAGCCAGACGATGATGTTAGAACCGTCCTCCTGGGTTGCGGGGTGGGGGTGGGGAGGACCTCTGAAATCTGTGCCCCCCAAATAAGCCTCACTTCTAAGTAAGAAAAGTAATGCAAAGTGCAGGAGGGACCTGTCCGACCCTTTTGGCAAGTCATTTTAAAGATGACAAGGGTAGTCCAGGTTAAAGATACTAGAGGGGGCAGAAACCATTCACATGTCTCGACCTGTAGGTATCACTAGCAATTAGATTGTTTTTATTTTTAAGAAAACACTCAGGGGTATCTCATTCAGGGCTAAGTATTTCTTTAATAAGCAGAACATGAATTTAACGTTGCCTCTGGTTGCACCTTTGGGTCATCTCATTTCCCACCTACTTCTCAGTGTGTCTTGGATTTGTGAGGTTTCTTAACTCGTCCTTTCTTCCCAAAGCACCTCCGGTAGCCCAAGGCGCAACATTTATAAGTGATGAAGACAACCCCCAGCACAATGGCCAGGAGGAAGCCGATCACATCCAGGGAGTGGTACTGGTACCAGGTGAGATCGTGGGCTGCAGGGCGCAGGTGTGGAGCCCCCTTGTGCCTCATCACGAACTCCACCCAGAACACAGCCAGGTCCAGGGGCTCAATGGGGCGGTCCTTGTGTAGCCTGGAGAGGTGCATGATGTTCTCCTTATAGCTAAACACAGAGACAGTTATGAGTGTCTGGAACATCGGCTGCAGTGAACCATCCTCCCTTTAGGCTTGCTGTGGTTGGGAAGTTGCTAAACTTGGCAGAGGAAATGTGTTTCCATTATAGACAGAAAACACACACACACACACACAATGGTCTTTATCTCTGAAATTAAAAAAAAAAATGTAGAAAGAAAACTGGAAGCCAAAATTATAGTATTAAATTATTTGAACCTTACTTCCTATTCTCTTCTTTTCTTTTTCTTGGTATTTTTGTAGGAAATTAGATACTTTTACAGTAAGAGAAAGAAATAAAAGAAAAGGGTGTGCCAGAAATTATGAGCAGTTTTCCTTTCACGGTTTTAAACAATCACATCTAGTCAAAGCAAAAGCGATTTATAAGTGCCATCTGCAAGGTGGTGACACGTCACACCATCCAAGTGCTAACGTTAGGACGAGACTGTGTCTATGCAGCCTGTTCAACAAACGGATTTTTGTTGGCTTTGGACAGTGTGGATAGCTGAATCGGAACCTCCAAATCCGAACTGGGTTAGATGACTTGACCCTTAACTGTGGATGCACTAGAAGAAGAAAGAGAAGGAGGAGAAGGAGGAAAAAAAGGAAAAGGAGAAGAAAGACCAGAGTAAGACACTCTTATCCAATCTTATTCAAGAGCAGTCATGATAACTGCTATCTTTAAACAGGCCTGTCATTATATCTGGATACATTATTATACTATGATAATAATATTTGGCCATAAGTCTTGTTAAACATCTTCCTTTTATATAAATCTTCTCTTAAACAAAATAGATTTTCTAGAACTTTCATTCATTCATCCACCATTTACTGAGCACCTGTTATGGCCTGGGTGCATCATCTGATGTTCAAAATTTTTCCATTTGTCTTTATTTTATGTCCCAGCTTGGCATGTTGGGAACATGGAGGTTCACGATTAGGCAGAGATGACTCCCGAGCAAATAGATGAAGTTTGCTGGTAACTTAAGCTGATTGATGAAGGTTCTTTTAAAGACAAGAGAACTTCTACCAAGTCATTTGTAGGTTCCAGGTACTTGTCTGTACCACTCAACAGAAGATCAAAATTGTACTACTAGTGCGAACCTCAGGAATGAGTTTTTTTGTCAGCGCGTGGAGAAAAGTCGGGGTTTCAGTGCATTCGACGTGGGGGCAGCACGGCCTGATGCCGGCAAGCTGAGCTGTCAGAAGAGGCCCATCAGGATGGAGGGATGTTACCCGCCGCTCTGGGCGCGCTGGGCATTTACCCCAGGGTTATGTGGACTTTTCTTTCTCATCCCCTGGCACCACACACGTGAGCGCCCCATTTCTCCATTTTCCTTTGCCCAGGCCTACCGTGCCACCCTGTGGCATGTCTCTTCCCATCTGAACACACTCCAGTCTTTTCACACCTGTCCCTCTGATTGACGTCTCTTTCAAAATGAAGCAACTATGGGTCAAGACTCCCGACACTCTCTTAGACACACACGTATGCACAGGCTCCCACACACGCACACACACACGTGCACACACGCACACATCAAGGATTGGACGAAGGCCACCCCTGGCCATCACCTCTTCCCATAAGGTTTTGGCCAGTCTGTTACTAGGGAACTTGACAGCAATACGATCAATTTCATGCACAGATCATTTGATCTGATGGCTTTTGCCTCTTGAATTGTTTTCAGAGCCACATTTGAACAGACTGATCTTTGCTTTTATTATAAGCCTTTGTCTGCGCTATCAAATGACCCCATCCCACTTATAAATCCCCATGAACAAAATTTCTCATTTGCTTCAGTGCTAGAGAGAGCTGTACTTCTAAGCTCCTGGCTTATTTTTATCTTATGGACACTCTGCTTCTTGTAATGGAATATTTCTCTCTTTGCAGGAACTTACAGATCAGATGTCTACTTGGTGACTATATTTTTTAATTAATTGAAGTTTTAATCCTACTGAGGGAAATAATATTTAAAATCATTTTGATGATAAGTTCCATAGGAATTAAAGCATCCTCTTATAAAACGAATAATAATAATCCCCAAATCATCTTACTTATAAATTGGGTTTTTATTCATTTGTTTTCACATTTGAGTATTTGTTGTGAATGAGATGGCCAAAATACACGCAGTATTCCTCTGTACCTTCTCTCTTACCTTTTGTCATTGATGACAGTTTTTATGGCATTTGCTAAATCTTCAGAAGTCATTTCCAGGACGTTCAAGGTCACTCCAGCCCCCCGGGTCTCCATGCGCTTCGCGTTGTCCATCTGATCACCAAACAAGGGCAGCATCACCATTGGAACGCCATTGCAAATTCCCTCATATACGCCATGGGAGCCAGAATGTGTGATAAAGGCCCGAGTCTTCGGGTGACCTGAGAAGCAAAGCAGGGAGGGACGCCAGCAGTCAAGTCACCGAGTTTCACAGTCTGACACCATCTAGGTTCTGAAAGCGCTCTGAGGACTCAGGGCCACCCACATGTGGCTCCTGCAGAAGTCTGCAGAGGAAAATGTGGGTTGAGATGCCCCACCAGATAAAAAGCAATGTGGAACACTTTGGCCATAATATTTTCCAGCTAAACAATCCTTTAGAACAGCCTGGCGCAAGCCACTTCCTTAATTTCACTTGGGTTTGACCAACACACCAAATCCTGCCCACATACCAAGCAGATCATTCTGGGGCAACCACTTGACAAGTATTGTATTCTTCGCGAGATTTGGTGGGGGAGTGCTGGTATACCGCCACAGGACCTTGCAGAGACAAGAACAGAGTTTAAGGAACACAATGATTCAAAAACATCTGCCATAGTAGCTACAATGTGGAGTCCTCTGAATGAACATAACCTTGGCAAGGGTGGGAGGTGTCGGGACTGGGAAGGCTTTGGGGACTGGTAACATTCTCTTTATTTGTGCAAATTCATCAAGTTGTACAGTTACGACTTTTGCACTTTTCTGCACTTCAAAGGGAAGTTTACTTAATAAAGTGAATGGATGTAGAATTATAGAAGCAGAAATATAAGAAATGAATCCAGTGTCCTGACCAGCAGGCTTTTTGTGGAAATACTCCTACATAATATGAAGAAACACCATCCTGTACATTATCCTGTTTACTTTATCTTTAAAATAAATTCTCCTTGGGACCCCTGGCTGGCTTAATCAGTGGAGTATGCAACTCTTGATCTCGGGGTTGTGAGTTCGAGCCCCAGGTTGGATATAGAGATTACTTAAAAAAATAAAATCTTTACAAATAAATTAGTTAATAAAATAAAATAAAATAAATTTTCCTTAGTACACTTTTGAGTTTCTTAGAGAAAACGAGACCTCCAAGTCACATAGACCATGGCTTAACAGAGTAGTTGAGAGTGACATGGCAAAAAGAACTTTGGATTAATAATTAGGAAGTTGCAGGGAAACCCAAACCGAAAGTCCAACTAATAGGATTAACATCGATACTAGAAGTCTGGGGTTCCAACTCTTGGGAAGATAGAATTGTATGGAGGGGCGCCTGGGTGGCTCAGATGGTTAAGCGTCTGCCTTCAGCTCAGGTCATGATCCCAGGGTCCTGGGATCGAGCCCCGCATCTGGCTCCCTGCTCAGTGGGGAGCCTGCTTCTCCCTCTCCCACTCCCCCTACTTATGTTCCCTCTGTGTCTCTCTCTGTCAAATAAATAAATAAAATCTTAAAAAAAAAAAATATTTCCTTTAAAAAAAAAAAAAAGATAGAACTGTATGGAATCTTCTTACTGTCTGAGGTATTTTGCCCAAAGCATCAGCAATTTCCATAGCTTTCTTCTCGGGAATCTCTGAGACCATGGAGCCCAAAGAGAAGACCACAATTCCATGTTCTCCGGAAGCATTAACATAGGCTTCAAATTCCTAGAACCATAAGAGAAATTTCCAGTTAATTTTTTCTCACCTTCTTCGGGAACTGCATACATTCAGCTATGAATCAGATGTCTTCATCTTAAGAACGTGATTAAAGGGGTGTGTGTGTGTGTGTTAGAGATACAAAATATTAGTGCACGTTACAGCCTTCCCCCCCCCACTCCCCTTACTCCCTTCCAAAGGAGGAAGGCTTCTTGCATGTTAGGTTGTCTCCTGGGTTCTTCTCTCCTTCTCTGAGATGCAGAATCCAGGTAGTATGCTCATTTCCCAAAAGAAAAGCAATCAGAGCTAAGACCAGATCCACTTCCAGGGGCTTCAAGCAGCTGGGAGGGTCTTGGAGAAAACAGGCTTTCAGGAAGGGAACTAAAGGAGAGAGCAGAAGGCAGTACGGAAGGAGGAGGGAAAGGCGAATGAGCATCAAAGAGAAGGGAGAGCGCCATTTAGCAGATCAGTGAAGGGAGACCTTGGGAGAGAGGAAAGCTGTCCAAGGAGGATTTCGGAAAGCTTTCTGCAGACTCTAAAACTCCTGCACCACCCCTTTATGAAAATCTACAGTAAATATGTATATTATTTTCCAAGGCTTCTGGAATATTCCTTTTATCTTGAAAGAATGAATGGAGCCAAAGCAGAAAGCTGCAAATAGTGTTGAAGATGAGGCTCATGGTTAAGAAAAAACCTCAAATAGCCAAGACAGCCTGTAACAATTCTTGCTTCCCCACAGCCTACAGCAGAGTCTTCCATATGGCAGCCAATACACTGGGGTGATTAGGGATCATATTCATGTCAACTCAGTGCTGAAACTTAACCAGTCAACCAGGCAATTTCCCACCTTTCCTGGAGAAGAGATTTCTGAAGAGTCTCAGTCAACTTTCCTGCCTTACCAAGAACATACAGAAAGATATCTGAATCTTTGTTTGCTGGCTTCATAATGTACTGTAAAAAGCAAAATATTTCTCTCTAGGTATGCGAGATACAAAATGGGACAGAAAACCTTGCCAAGGGTGCACCAGGATCTGAGCCCCTTCTGCAGAATTCAGAGAGGGTCAAGGGCATGTGAGCAAACCCTGAGTACCAGCCACCAACGGGAAGGATAAACAAGCAGTGAGTCTCAACCCACCCAGCACATGACCTCCGCAGAGTGTTCCTGTCCCATTCCAGAAGCTGATCCCTTCTAGCAATATATCCATCACCATCATCCAAGGAAGACTGCAATTATAAGGCTGCTCCGACTCCTCCAACCAAGACCACCATTGGGCATTACAGTCTTGGCTACGTAAGGACAAAACTCAAGACAAAGCAATGGGACTTGTTTCTGAAGAAACTTCTGAGCCAGGTGACCCAAGGAATAAGAAATGAACTGTGAGTGGTTTTCTAGTCAATAATGAAACTTACAACTACTAGAAAATGGACAATCCATGGTTCCCTTGGATGAAGCAGGGGGATGGGATCTTCAGAAGTGTCTGCATGTATAAGGGTGAGAGACAGTGATGGCTGGGACCCCACTAGTAAGTACAGATCACAGATTATGACCTATCAAGCCTCTACCCCTAAAGTAACAAGGAATAGACTAATTTAGAGATGAATGTCAGACAAAAGCTCTGAGAGGAAGCAAGAAAAAGATGATCCAATCAGAAGAACAGCAACATTAGGGGGAAGGAAGCCCCCAGACTCAACCCTCAGCAATAATCTCAGCCTAGCCTGATCTGGCCCCAACCTTCGAAGCCAACTCCAGTGTACTGTGGTCTTCAGGAAACATACATACGCACTTGGGCATACACACATGCACACACACAGGCACACAGCTGCATGCACACGTGTGTGGGGGCATGCACACACACAGACTGGCAATTCCATGTAGAGGAAATAGAGTATGTGTGAGTGTGGCAATTTTCCCCCAACTGTAAGCTTTTCATGATCTAATGAACTCCCCTAGAGCCTTCCAAATTATTTTAAGTTTCCCAAGAATGCCAAGGACATTAATGAGACTGTATGATGTGCTGGGGTTTGCCCAGAAGTGAGGGGTTTCCTGAGATACGGGACTTTCAGTTCTGTTCAAACCAGAACACTGGCCACCCTGGGTGTGACATGGAAAGCATTTCCCACAGGGCTCAGCACATGTGATTTTAAGAGACTTCTTTCAGGTTTGGTTCAGAGCATGACCAATAAAGCCCGAACACTGCCCAGCCCTCCTCAGGGATAAAGCCCCAGCCTGGTCCACCCCCACCAGCTCTCTTCGAAGCCTCTGGCTCCTAGCAGGTGTGTCCCAGCCTTCTCCATTGGGCTCATTCAAAAGGTCAGGGAGGCCAGCATCATCTTCCCCACCACCACGCTGCATTTCTGGTCTATGACAAAAACATCCTAAGGACGGTTTTCCTGAAGTCCTTCCTCCTCTGGATTACACCACATCCTTCTTTCCTCAGAAAGAAAGCTCATCTCCAAGTACCTTTTGAGCTCTTTTTTTCTGAGTGAAGGTAAACAGATCACGTCACTTCCTAGGACCTTCCCTTCTTCATGAAACCCACTCTTACTTTAACCATATCTACAAAGGGCCACATCTGATTTCCCCTCCTTGTACACTCTCCCCCACCCACTCAGCACCCAGCAGGGTGTGATTATCATAAAATGGAACCCAAAGGTCCATAAACACCCAAAGGTACATAGCAAGACTAAAATTTAAATGTCACAGAGGTTCATCTACAGATCACAGAAGGGCAAACTGCAGAGATTGTGTTATCACGGCCAACACCTCTTCTGGGCCAGCTCTTCTGGAATTCAACATTGGTGAGGTCCACACTCTACTTGGCAAAACTTCCCCAAACCTGGCCTTGACTTCACAGACTCTAGAGTGGCCAAAGAGTGAAGCGACAGGTTAACGAAAATAACCCTCCATTGCCCCACCTCTTACCCCTTCCAAAAAAGATAAGGCCCCCTCTGACATGAAAGCACTTGCCCACCCTGTCGATGACTTTAACACAGGTCCTAACTTTTGCTGAGAGTTTAGTATTTTGAGTTCCAGGCTTTTATTAGATTTTCTCTTCCCAAATGTCATCTGTTTCTCAAAATGCTTGGTAAGCACTTGCCATGTCGGAAAACTGTTGCTTTATCACTACGGATTCAGAGCCACAGACAAAGCCTGCCAGCTTCCCTGCTCACCAGTGTTTCTCCTCGCCATTGTCAAGTCTCTGTTCTCACTGACCTTCCGTTTGGCTGTTTCCCTCAGACCCAACATGTATGCATGGATATCATCTCTGAATCCCCACACGTCCCCAAAGATGGTCTCTCACCCTGAGCGGGGAAGGACAGCTTAGAATCCTTGAGCTTTGTTCTTAATACTGTCCTACTATCTTTTATCTGCCAGGCATCCCAGACATGCCCAACACCAGGTATGCCTTCCATATGGACTCTATCAGCTAAAGGTTGTATCTCTATTCTTGAAGTTCAGGACTTTGACTAAGAGCACTGGGACCAGGACAATTTCCACTAGAGTAATGGAAGCATAGAAAAGCATTCTTTAATTAACCAAGGGGGAAAAAGAAAATAAACAGCAACTTGCCAGGAAAAGGGAAAATGACCAAGTAAAATTAAAATAAACTGGTAAAATTAGAATCAAATCTAGCGATTGTTAAATTAAGTGCAAATAGGCAAAAGTTTCCCAACCAGGTTAAAAATATCAGCTCCGTGTTTATTTATTTTTTTAAGATTTTTTTTATTTATTTATTTGAGAGAGAGAGAATGAAAGAGAGAGCATGAGAGGGGTGAGGGTCAGAGGGAGAAGCAGACTCCCTGCCGAGCAGGGAGCCCGATGCGAGGCTCGATCCCAGGACTCCAGGATCATGACCTGAGCCGAAGGCAGTCGCTTAACCAACTGAGCCACCCAGGCGCCCTCAGCTCTGTGTTTAAAAAAAAAAAAAAAAAAATCTTGAAGACAAAGGGGTACCAAAGAGGCACTAGGGAAAGGTAAACAAGATAATACAGGAGTGGTAATACTAATACCAAAAAAAGTGGAATTTCAAATTAAAAATATTAAGTAAGACAAAGAGGGTTGCCATCCAGTACAACTTACAAAGACATCCTCACACCAAGGCTTGCTTGCACCAAACAAAGCTGCAGCCAACGCATAATCATTAGAGCTCAGCACTTAGACAAATTTCAGGCAAAGAAAATGTATCGATAAATGATGACAAAACTATGATATTGAGAAAGATGGTAGATAAAGCCCTGTAGACCCTCCTAGTAAACATCCTAAAGTAAAGAAGGAAATCACTTAAATACATAAAGACTATTTGCCAAAAAAAATGGCAAACATGATATAAAATGATGAAATGAAAATCAATCTTCATTATAATCAGGAGCAAGACAAGAATCCTTGTGATTCCTGAAATTATTCAATTGTTTTTAAACATTCTAGTGAATTCAATAAGACCAATACCTGGCATAGAATTCAGAACAGAAGAAACCATATTTTATTTACTGATGAAAGTCTGCATGCTAGTTTTTTTTTTTAATGATGAAATCAATATTTTCATTAGGCTCAATTTTGATTTGGGGCTGAATAGTGAGTAGATAACCAGCTACAAACAGAAATGGAAAAACTATCACATTCACAGGGGTGACAAAAGAAAAAAAAAAGGTGTAAAATACTTAAGAAAAACTGAACAAGAAAGGAACAGAACAAATGTGAAGAAAACTACAAAGAGCTTGATCCTTGGTAAGGTGATATTTGAAGTAACAACAAGAAGAGCAAGGCCCTGGAATATAAACTTCAGTGTTCTTCCTAGGGAACAAGATTACATGGTTAACAGAATAAACTGTGGCATGTAAATACCATGAAACATGGCGCAATTAAAAAAATAGATATAATATTTAGAACCAAAACGATATCCATGACATATTGATACGTGAGCCATAGGGATATATTATTGCCTTTTTTGTAAAACAAGCAACAAAAATTTCAATACAAGTACATGTGTTTGTCTTTGTGTATGCTGTAA